GAGAGAAGATTTGGTGACATCAGCAAATGATATCACCCCAAAGGAGACTGGACGTAGAAGAAAAAAAAGCAAAAAAAAACAAAAAACGAACGAATGACTGATGAGATTCTCGACATGATGTAAAGGAGACAGAAAACTCTGCCAAGATACGGAACGGAATACAGAAAACTATACAATGAAATAAGGATTAAATGCAAGCAGGCTAAAGAAGAGTGGCTAAACAAAAAATGTGCAGAAATAGGGAGATTGAGTAGCACCGACAACGGAGATAAGTATAAAGAAATAAGGGGAATAACAGGACAGAAGACATGTTCGTCAACAGGCTGTTTAAAATCAAAGGAGAGATTTTTTTTCAGCATTGGGACGAATATATTGGAGAACTCTTCCACGACGAAAGAGAACAACCAGCAATACACAGAACTACCGACGGGCCTGAAATTCTAAAAACCAAAATAGAAGCTGTACTGGCGAAATTGAAAAGAAACAAATTGGCAGGGCCAGACGGAATTGTAACAGAAATTCTGACAGCCTGAGATGATTTTGGCATACACAAGATTACAGAAATAATAAAAGAAATCTACAACAGCAGTGACTGCTTAAGAAACCGGCCGCAAACGAATGTGAACTCCACCGAACAATCAGCCTAATGATCCACGTAACAAACCCCATAATCCGTATTCTGATGAATAGAGAGCGCAGTAGAATCGGGCCAGAGATAGGACAAGAACAGTGCGGGTTTGTCAAAGACACCGGAACAAGGAAGGCGATATTCATGCTCAGAATGATATCAGAAAGAGTAATACAAATGCAGAAGGATGTGCACCTATGTTTTATAGACAATGTAAAGGTGTTTGACAAAGTACGTCACAAAGATCTATTGGAACTTCACAGCAACCTTGATATATTTGGGAAAGACATTAGAATAATCAAGAACCTATACTGGCAGCAAACGGTCTGCATACGGACAGAAAATGAGTTCAGCAGATATACAAAAATAGAAAGGGGCATAAGGCAAGGATGTGTCTTCTCACCGGACTTATCAACCTATGTTCCCCTTGCACCCTTCAGCAAGAGTTAGATAGGATGCGTTGTATTCTTATTGATATTATCCTACCAACATCATTAAGTGTAAGATGGAAAGTAAGATTGAAAGTTTCAGTAAATCTCCTGAATTTGGTCCTAGTCTATGTCCGATCTACTTAAAGTTGGTAGAAAGTGTCAAATTTTAATTGATACAGTTTGCAATTCTGTTTCTTCTACGTTTTTTTTCGTCAAATTAAGTGTTGTTTTGGGATTTGTCTAGTGTTTTCAGCCTTTGTTAATGATTGGTTGTCCTATCTTAGCTCTTTAATTTACAAATTTAAATGTCAGTGCGAGGCTGAATACATAGGACGAACAAGTCTTCGGTTGGAGACAAGACTGGACAAATACATACCAAAATTAGATTGATTCTAAGTAATCGCATCCGTGTTTCACAATCTGTACACGATTCGGCAATTGGGCAGCACCTATTAGAGAATGAGCAGTGCTCGTCATGTTTTTCCTACTGACTCATTCTCTATTTGTAGAATAACAATACAATAAACGACACTTACCGGCGTAAGAGGTCCAGCTGGCAGACAAAAATAAAGCAGGTTGTAACTTAATACAAACCCCGCAAACTAACTGAAATTAAGCTGGTATTTATATAGAAATACTTCCACTCAGGTACCAGCAGCCAATCAAAGCCCAAGCAATGGACTATCCCACTTTAGCATAATGAGATGCTCCATTGCACCATAAATAACTCTCTTCCTCAATGTTGAATCAGTCTTCACTCAGCTTGCTCCACAACTGAGTGTTTATATTGACCACGTATTGTTCGACATGGCGCCGTGAACAGGATCTTTGGTGTGTTGATGCAAAAAACATCATTGACTGTAGCAGGTCCTTTACGCAGTCCAACAAACTTGGATATTCAGAACCCAGCAGTCAATCTCCAAGAGTTTAAATGGGGAAAAATTGAACAGCTCATCAAATTTTCATTGCAGATTGATTTCCTGGGTTGTAAGGTGGAAGTGTATGTGTAAACCAGGTAGATAAAGAGAGCAGAAGATGAGGAGAGCACACAACATTGTTTGAGACCACATAATTGTGCTGATGAGGCTGTGCAAAACGCCATAATCAACACACACCCTGACTTCTTTACCACTGATCCAGATAATCTACTTGACATGGTAGAAGTGTTGGTCACCCAGAGGTCAAGTCCTATTGTCCATCGCCTTGCTTTTGCCTCCATGTCTCAGGATGCTGATGAGCCAATACAAAGTTACCTTGTCCGCCTCAGAGCCGTAGCCGTTGATTGTAACTTTACCTGCCCCTCGTGTGAACATATTTTGCATATGGCTCGGTCTAAACACCATTTGTAAATATTAAGAGCTGTCTGTCTTAAATTACAGTAGCAGTCTCTTTGTAAACAAAAGGAGAATTTTCTGCGGTCTCTTCAGTCATTTGGAGGTTTGTGAGTAAATATATTTTCTTGTTTTATACTCACATCGGAGTCTTTACATCCTTTCTTAAATTTACGTACATATATTTTCGCGAATTTTTTTTCAGACGAGCTCCAAGTTTTCCCCCAATTTCCAAACACTTACTGACCAATTCCGTTATATTATTTTTACCAATGTTGGTCCCTGATGAAGTATTGGCCGAAAGGTACCTAGGTCCATAAGGGGGTGGGAATGAGCACAAAATTGTGCCTCTTTAAGTGTATATATATATATATATATATATATATATATATATATATATATATATATATATATATATATGTGTGTGTGTGTGTGTGTGTGTGTGTGTGTGTGTGTGTGTGTGTGTGTGTGTGTAAAAATATATAGAAAATAGGAAAGAACTCGTTAGGTAAATAATCCAAAGTTCTTTAGTATTTTTGTTATTATTTTTAAAAATAGTGCTCGATACAAAGTAGAGCATAAATATAATTATTTATTTAAAAATATGATTCAACGCTACATAAGAGTTCTCATGTTTCAAAACAAGAGCCGAAAACTTCAATATAATTATTTGAATTAAATTGAATTAAAGTACCAAGCTCTGTTCCATCTTCAAGCGAAATTTTTTTTTGAAACTTTTTTTGCTTGAAGATGTAACTGAGCTTGATACCTTAATTCAGTTTAATTCAAATAATTATATTGAAGTTTTCGGCTCTTGTTTTGAAACATGAGAACTCTTATGTAGCGTTGGAATCATATTTTTAAATAAATAATATATATATATATATATATATATATATATATATATATATGGGTTAACGTAACAATATATATATATATATATATATATATATTGTTACGTTAACCACATATTGGTACCCTCACCTCAGATTTTATAAGTATATTTTCAATACATTGTGTATTTGCGACGAAACATATGAATCTTAATAACTTCTTTATTTCTTGAATATGTAGATTATGGGATATATTTTTTAATACCCAGATGAGTCAGGGCCAGTTCTCGGAAAAGAACCTTCCCTCCCCCCACCATTTCCTACCTAGTCTTTGATGCGTAGGCCAAACAAACGCTGTTTGACAGATAGGTGCGAATGATATTAACAAGGTCCATAATCGTAGGCCAAACGAACGCTGTTTGACACATAAGTGCGAATGACATTGACAGGGTCTGTGAATGACGCATACTTTTGGGGGGAGGGGGCAACACGTGACTCAACTCGTAGCAGTTTCGTTTCGCACGTGTTGAGGTGACAACGATCTCACTTAGCTGCTGGCTTTCGGAGGAATCGGACGTCACCAAAACCAGTCTTAGCTGTTTGCCGTTAGAAGAAGCAGTTGTCACCAAAACCAGACTTCGTTGTTTGATGCCAGAAGAATTAGATGCCACCAAAAACCAAAGGACCGACGAGAGAATCTAGATCAACATCCTCAACCCAAGTCGGCTACACTCCCGTGATTTTTCTGTGTGTTCTCCTCGCCATCAACACGGATTGGGCGGCGCCAGTTAAAAACCAATATTAGAACATTGACAATCCCATCCTTTACTTCTAGAGAAGTGTATGGATATCCTTTTGATCAAACTGTACCCTGATAATAATCAATCGACGTCGATTCCAACCTTATGTAAGTTTCTGCATGTTTTTCCATATATTATAATCTGCTATCTCTGTATTCATATGTATTTCGCCGCATTAGTATCTGTTTAATTGGTAACTTATCTCCCCATCCCTTGTATTATTTAGTTTTCTTTTCCTTACTTTCACACTCCATGCATTCTATAAATAAAATCTTTGTATTATATATTCTCGTGTTGTCTTCTGTTATTCTATATCTGCGTATGGTTCATTTTCTCTCAGCGTTTACCGACGTCCGGAATTGGAGAATTCCCCTCCCAACGTTCTTTTCTTTATTTTTATATCGAACCTTGGGATTACTTATTTTTTTATTTATTTTCTCGTTGTGTCCCGGCTATCGTAGTCCCAACGAAACTCCGGGCGTAACAGAAAATATATATATATATATATATATATATATATATATATATATATATATAGTCCTTTTATTGTCATCCACAGACAGACTGTTTCGCTGTATCACAGATCATCAGCGTGGTAGGCGTCCGATTGCCTCTAGCTAAGATCGAAACCCGGTTGAATTGGCGTCAATCGGAGAATCTACCACTAAGCCGTTGGCGCACGGCAGGGATGAAAGTGAATTTAAGCGTATTTATACTTAGATAAACACACCAAGCGATTTCTGAAGTGACATCTAAAGAATATTATGCAACATTTACCCTAGGAAGGACGCATAACTGATCGGCTGAAAGGTTCTGTCAAACACAACAAAATAAAGATACTCGCCCGAATAATATGTGAAACGTGATGTGTCTCAAATTATACGCCTCTAAGGAGTCAAAAGAAGAACAAAAATATTTGTATTGAATTGAAGCATAAAGAGAGGTGGGTGAGGGTTAGTGGGTAATATTGGGGAAAGTTAACAAAAAGAAAAAAAAATATGCAAACATTCAGAAAGTCTCAAAGCGGGAAAGGAAGATTGTCTCAGAATGAATGAACCAATAAAATTGCAGGCCATTACTTGAATAACTAACAAGAGAATTCGAAAAGAAAAACAGAAAGGAAGGAATAGGAAAAGAAGAAAGGAGAAAATAAAAAAAAGAAGGAAAGAAATAATAGAAAGTAGAAATAAGCATGAAATAAGAAAGGTAGAAAGTGAAGAGAGAAAATGAATGGGCGGAAAGAAAGAAAGAAAGAAAGGGATTAATGAGAGAAGAAAGAAAGAAAGAAAGAAAGAAAGAAAGAAAGAAAGAAAGAAAGAAAGAAGGGACAAAGAGGAAAAAATTAGAGAGCAAAGCGATAAAAAGAAAATAAAGTAATACAATCCAAAAAGAGCGAAGCTGGGCAAAAGAAAGGCTAAAGGAATGACAGAAACAGACCGGGGAGAAAGAAAGAAAGAAAGAAAGAAAGAAAGAAAGAAAGAAAGAAAGAAAGAAAGAGAAGAAAACGATAAAAAGAAGAAAAAAAAAGTAATACAATCCAAAAAGAGCGAATCTGAGCAAAAGAAAGGCTAAAGGAATGACAGAAACAGACTGGGGAGAAAGAAAGAAAGAAAGAAAGAAAGAAAGAAAGAAAGAAAGAAAGAAAGGGATTAATGAGAGAAGAAAGAAAGGGATTAATGAGAAAAGAAAGAAAGAAAGAAAGAAAGAAAGAAGAAAGAATTAGAGAGCAAAGCGATAAAAAGAAAATAAAGTAATACAATCCAAAAAGAGCGAAGCTGGGCAAAAGAAAGGCTAAAGAAAAGACAGAAACAAACTGGGGAGAAAGAAAGAAAGAAAGAAAGAAAGAAAGAAAGAAAGAAAGATAGACAGAAAGAAAGAAAGAGAATTATTTATTTATTTATAAATAAAAAGGAAAAGTAAAGAAAGATAGTAAATGAAGAAAAATGAACGAATGAAAGGAAGGTACAAGAAAATGAAAGGAAAACAGAAGCGAATGGGAAGAATAAATAACAAAAAGAAAGAAAAATGGTGAAAGGAGAAGGACAATAAAGAAAGGAAGTAAAAGAAAAGAGTAAAAGGGAGGAAGAAAAATAAAAAAAAAGAAAGAAAAGAAAAATTATTTAAATGAAAGGAAGAAAGAAGGCAATACAAAAAGAAATCAAAGAAACAATGAAAGAAAAATAACAACGAAAGAAAGAAAGAAGAAAATAAGGAAGAGTACAAAAAAGAAAAGGAAGGTGAGAGAAGAATTTCAAAGAAACTACAACAGGAAGAAAAAGAAAAAAAGAAGAAAGGAAGAATGTATTGAATAAAGATAATAAAAATGAACAATAATCCATACAGAATTTTCCTCTTCCTTGAATGAGCGAAGGTAAACAGTAAAAGGAGGCATAAGAGAAGGAAAAAAAAATTGCAAAATGATTCGACATCAAATGAAAACAAATGAACGAAAATAAAAGACTTTTGACTGAAAATATTAAATAATTCATAATAAAATGAATGAAAAGAAAGTATAAACTATATTAGACCGCGCAAAAATATAATAAAAGAAAACCAATGACGACAACGTCTTTCTGGTAATCTTGTCGGAGTCCAAGCGACTGCTTCTTCTTGCGTTCGTTCACGAGGTCCGAGATATCTGGCCAATCATATAACTCGCTGTGGAGTCCGCCATCTTAACTCATTTCCTGCAGCCATTTTCCGCTCGTCTCTTTCCATCACTTCAGCATTTTGTCCTTTCTCCCCACCTTTTATTTTTCACTATACAGGCAACTGTCAGTGGTATGGGCGTTACTTAACGAAGCAGTCTTTAAGCTGGTTAACACGGACCGATGCACATGGCGTCATGAAATCGGAGATTCATCATCGATTCGCATCCATTATGGATCATTGGTCATTTGTTTACACATCTGATATCACAACACCCATTACTATATTGTGGTTAACTTAACGGTCTCGCAGGTGTGTGATACTTAGTCCCGTCCTTTCTCCAAGAATATGGACTTGCAAACAAGTTACAGTAATCCTCGTCACACCTTTGGTCCCGTAGTCTTAAAATATTTTTATTTTCGTGTTTTTGCAACTAAATATGGGTATGAGTGTTAAAGTTCCTTGTTTATAGTTGTTTATAAAGATGAGAAGAAATGTGATTTCTTCGCGTGTATGTGTGAAAAAAGAAAAAATAGAGGCAAGGGAGAAAGTGAAGAGGAAAGTATAAGTGTCACGTAGCTTGGAGAGGAAAAGTGCAATTGTCACTTAGCTTGGAAACGAAGAGTGTAAATGTCACGTAGCTTGGTGAGGGAGACAGGGGACGAATGAATAAGGGAATCTCTTTTAAGCTTTGCCGTGTTGTGAACTGCTGCCGTGTTTTACCGTTAGTTCCTTAGTGGCTTGTCTGGTCTGATGACTTTGCTTATATACTATTCAAAGCGACCACGAAGGTTTTTTTTTTTTTTTTTTTTTAATTGTTGGCCGGAACGCGAATCATTGAAAAATTTATTAAAGGGAAGGATGCGCAGATCTTCCGACTCAGAAACCACTTTTTTGTCATTTGATGTTTGACTGTCTTGGTGTTTATTTCCGCCTTTACTATGCAGACTCCGATGAGAAGTTTATGGAGGCCCACCTCTCAACAATACTAGGCATTAGTATGAAAAGAAAGTATAAACTATATTAGACCGTTAGTGTTGTCGTTTCCATAGCAAGTAAAATTTTAAGGGATTAAGTTACTTGGCCCATACCCAACCACTTTTGAACCTGATTTTCTCATATAGTATCCGGTGTTCCTAAACAGTCTCCCATCTAATTATTTGACCATAAGTAAAGTAAGTTTATTCTATGAATATTTCATATATGAAGCCGTGGCTCAATTCAAAAAGTATTTCTTAACTTTTTAAAATCCCTTCACCCCAAGCAAGGCAATAATGCCACCAATACGCGAGGGGGCCACTGAAAGTCAAAGAGAATGAGAATATAGAAGGAACCGAAAATCTAATTCTAAACAGGAAACTGACAGACCTCTACTCCTGTTAAAAAAGACCGGGAAGGAGTGTTAACCGAACGATCGCTCAACCTATTTACTCTTTTGGGGGAAAATAATAAAAATAAAATGAAAATAAATAGTTAATAAAATTTCAGAGTTTAGACGGAGACGTCAGAAGTACAGAGTTGAAGTAGACTTTAGAAGGAACCAGGAACACACTCCCAAAACAGGAAACAAAGTATAAACCCCTACTCCTTTTAAAAAGACCCGGGGAGGTGTGTGAACCGAACAATAGTTAAATTTCTTCATATAACTGATGCAATTAAAACGCTTAGAATAGATGGACAGGACAGTCATGCAGTACGTAGAATTAAGGATAGCTTTGAAACTATCTGGAAAACTATGCACTATGCAAAAATCCATAAAATCATTAGGACTTAGGTTACAATTCTAGTTTTCCTATTATCGATGGTAATATAGTTTATCTTAGATCAACCGGAGATACAGTGTATTCAAATAGTCTACATAACCTACTTTATTGTATTATTTACCTACATATCTAGAAAGTATTTGGATGCGTGTGTGGTGTAATATTAATGGGTCCGAACAGAAAATGGACGAATCGAGTTCGTTAAATTCACTTTTGGCAAATATCCTGGAAAAGGTATGAATCAATCACTTCTCCTTCCAGCTATAGTAGGACAGACTGGGCCCTTTGGCCTTGGGTGGCAACCAGCCTAGAAGAAGGAAAACTCTGAATTCCTGTTAGATGGGACTCATTAGAGTGGGAACACGGGGTCGGGTAAGAGGAAGGAAGACCCTGACAGAACAACTCTTTTTCAGGGTACGGAGTTTGGACCTCGGGGAAAATCACATATCAAGTGGAACAATTGTAAAAATCTTTTAAAAGATCTTGTGCCACGAGGTACCAAGCAGATAGTACTATAATTGCACGATATATATAGGTTTTTATCTTTATAAGCGTAATTGTGAGCAGACATTTCAACAAATGCAGTTAAAATGATAAAGGTATACTTCAAAGAGATGAAACGTTGTTGAAAAGACTATTGTGTTTTGGATGATTTTGTTTAGCGGCGTATGTATTATTTAATGCCGAAATCTAAATATTTGGATTGGTTTGATTGGTTGATTTTATTTAGCGGCATATCAACCTCTATGGGTTATTTAATGCCGAAATCTAAATATTTTATTGGTTTGGTTGATTTTGTTTGGAATTTGTGAATTGTGACATGATGCTCTTTTTCTCCCAGACGGTGCCAAATGACCTTACTATACACTGCAGTCGAAAAATAAAAAAAAAACAAACAACACGCATTCGCGAAATTAAAACTATAAAATTGCGACTATTTACCCATCGCACCATATATATATATATATATATATATATATATATATATATATATATATATATATATATATATATATATATATATATATATATATATATATATATATATAAAAAAAAACTCTTTAGTTTTGGTGGACTGTTTTAAAAATCCAAATGCCTTTGATATAGATTAAACTGACAAACAATGGGCAGCCAGACTTTCTCTTGAGTTTTTGAACATTAGAAGCAATAAAGTATCTAATTTAATTTGATTCATGGTCACTATTTATCCGCAGTAAACCCTGGCATTTTCTCTAACATAGATTTTTTTCTTTCATTGTAGCCTGAGGAAACCAAAGAGCGCAGGCTCTCTGGCGAAACGCGTCGTTAGTAAATTTTCACTTTGTTTCGGATACTATTATTCATACTACAAACACGACACACTGAAGCCTCTGTATGACCTTGAATTCAGGACAAACTTTATTCTTTACGTAGAATGCTGAGAATATTATGTACAGAATAAGTAACGAGGATGAGATAAGAATAAGATAAACTACAAAAAAAAAAAAAAAAAATAATAAAACTGCTACTAGCAATTAGAAATAGATGGAATTTCTAGGATATGTAAAGAGGAAAAGGAGATTGAAGAATTTAACATTTACAGAAAATAGCGAAGGAAAGAGAAACTAAGAAAACAGCTAGATTGACGAGTTTGAGTGAAGGGAACAGCAGAACAAGGACCGCAAAGTCGTAGTGAGCTTTAAAGGAATAAAATTATTATGTGAAACTGGAAGCTGTAGAGAGCCATTATCACCCAATTCCTGAAGGGTCACGGAGAAGAAGAAGAAGAAGAAGAAGAAGAAGAGCAAATGAACAATTGAAAATATATAAGATGTCTGCTCAGAAAGCGTCGAGTCACTTAATATTGACGATACAGCGCATTCGTGAATACTCTCTCCGTGGATTATTCACTCAGTGATGAGACTCGTATATGTTTGACCATTGCATTACCTATTCGTCTATGCTTAGAATATTGCTGCCAGCTATGGTATGGTGCTCCTGAAATTTACCTTGAGCTCCCTGATCGGCTTCAGTTACTTTCCCACCGCCGTTAGGTTCATCTCTACGGCTTTTCTATAAATACTTTCATGGTAATTGTTCGAATGAGCTCTTCGCTACTTTATGAATTTAAGTGCAGTACAAGACTGGCATCGAGATCTTAACAATTTACAGATGAACTGGTTAGATGTAACCGTAAATTCTATGCTAACAGTTTCTTTGCTCGCACTTCTCGCTTGTGGAACTCCCCCCCGTCTCCATGTTTTCCAGCCATTATTAATCTGCAAAAATTTAAATGCAATGTCAATCGCTATCTATTGTCCCCCTGATTTCTTTTTTGTCTTCCTTCTCATCATTAAGTTTTCTGTTCCTAATTCTTTCACACCCTGTAACCTCTTTTGTCTTAGTGGCTTTACTCCCTTGCATGGAGTAATACCGATTTTTAAAATATTACTGAGCCTACCCTTTCTTCATATTTTTGTTGCAATAATTTCGATGAAATTGGTGTTCACCTTGGTTTGTAACATTCCATATTATAATAAGCTAAAACATTTACTGTTGCCATACCGATACAAAATGAATTGAGTTATTACACAAAAATAAAAAGGGGCTTAAGATAATGATGTCTTCTCAGTGAATTTATTTAAAAACGAGTCGATTCTATGAAGTAGACTAATCAACGTGTATTACTAATGGACAAATTCTTAAGCAACATCAGATATTCAGTTTGGTTTATTTTGTTTTACAGTATATAAACCTCAATGCGTTATTTAATGCCAACAAAAGTTTTAGAAGAGATTCGTATGAATAGAATATTTATTCTTTGTAAGAAATCATTTTGTAGGAGATCAGGTTTCATTGACCGTATTTTTACAATGAGGGTTTTTGTCGAGTTTCAAATGTATTGCTGGTAATAATTTTATTTTCAAAAATTTATTGCTGGTAACAAAAAAGATCTATTTTTAAACTTTCATCGTGCTTTGATCCCAGTTTGGGGGTTAGCTATTTGCCCATAGCTGGGGCCGTAACAGGTGCTACCATCCTGGGTCAGGTTGAACCTGGGAACAACAGCAATTAAGAGCTTTTTTGACGCTCCTCAAAACCTACCCATCAGAAGCCTTGCTGCCGCATGTAGTTTATCGTCATACCCAGGACGGTAAGATGTTTAGATCAAGCTATGATGATAGCAGACAAAGAAAAAAAAAAAATACCGGCATTAACACCGATGCAAGGTTTGTAAACAATATTAAAAATAATTTATTATTGAACTTGAACGGTCCAACATACTGGAGAAATCTTTAAACAAGATTTTGTGAACTTAAATATCTCTTAGGTTAAAGAAGGATTTGATATTGTTGGACACCTTCCTAACAATAGATACGCAGATGATGCCTTGCTGAAATGAAGAACAAGAAAGAAAACCACAGTAACTCCTATACAATATAATTAAGGAAAGCGAGAAGAAAGGACTAACGGTCAATTACAATATGGTCATTAGTACGAGGAACAGACTATGAATTGTAACCTATGAATTGGAGATATCAGAATCAAACGAATACAGAAATCTAAGTATCCTGGAAGTGTTAAGAGAGACGATGGGAAATGCAATACAGAAATCCAAAATCGTATTGAATTAATGAACGACGAAACAGAGTGTAGTGAGTCTCGTTAAAAAATAAATGACATAATATAAAAATAAAATATATAAAAAGAGTAAAAAATAAAAATAAAAATAATGTATTTGTGCATTCCTTTTAAACCCTTATCTCTTTCTTTCTCTCTTTCTCTGAAATTCTCTTTCTGTGTTTTCTCAACTAAAAGAGAAGGAAACCCACAAATAAAAAGAAGAAGAAGAAGAAAAAAACACAGGAAGTTTGCTGGACAAGAGCCTGCTAATTTTTGTCGGAAAACTACCAAAAATCCATGCATAACTTTCGTTATTAAAAAAAAAAAAATGAAAAAGAAAGGAACGTTGTAAAATAAAAATAATTTTGGGCAATTAAAAAAAAAAAAACGCCAAAAATACTTTTGATGTTAGCCAAAACCAATACTTGCGCCATTCTATCGAAGCCGGGTCAAACGGATATAAGCTCACACCTCTGAGCTAGGCAACAGAAGGGTCAGTGAGAGTGAGTACAAGAGACGCTGCCGCCGGAGAAACTAGCCATGTCTGACGCGTGAAGAAGTAGTTAAGAGGTTATCCACTTTTTCCCTGTTTAGGGACTAGATAAAAACAGTAGATTGGCACTGACCTATTTCTAATATTACTACTACCCCATCGTACGGTCTGACTTAAAAACTATCACCTCCCTACTTTCTCCAAACTACTAACAATATCCGCCTCATAAACAAACATTTTTTGTGACACCGAATATCAAAGGACTCACCATAAAGCAAATAAATATATTATTTATTTTATACCCTTGAGTCAGTTCGTTCTATTCCAAAGTTTCCGTTTAAAGAAAATCCTACCACTTATCCACACTAGTGGCTCCGAACAGGAAAATTCGTTAGAAACAAATATAAAGTGTTGAAATAGGATGTAATACCAATCCTCGTATATGGCAATGAATGCTTAACAAGGAAGATGCGACTTGAGGCAACAGAGATAGTGTTCTATAGAAAGAGACTAAGAATACCATGGACAAAACATTTGCGTAACGAAGGAGTTTTAAGGAAAATGGAAACAAAAATGAAACCTATAATTAGAATCAGAAAGTGGCAGTTTAAATTTATAGGACTCCTATTGAGAAAAGCGGGTTAGGTAATTTGACACTCACAGCACATATTAAAGGTACGATATGTAGAAGAAAAGAGTTAGTAACTTATCTAACAAGCTTATGTTAATGGATAGAGGAACATGGGCGAGAAGAGACAGTATGGTCATAACAATTGCATAGAGTGACGAACGATAGGTTGTTGTGGAGAGCCGTGGTCACACACGCCATGAAGAATCAAGACGCATAAAACGAGAACACCTGATTACAGTCTAGATTTGATTTCTCACTGCAGTCAGATCTTAAACCGGGCGTAACAGCAAAATTGTCCAAATCGTGTAACAGCATAATTATACATCATACAAAATGTTTAATACCTAAAAAAAACTGCTAAACTAATCGAGTTTCTTTTCCCCCGTGTTTTCAGATAAGACTTTTAGCCATTGTAACACCATTTTTCATAAGAATGACTGAAAAACTCCTTGAGTTATTCAGCCAAAAATAGAGCAGGTTAAAATTGTTTTGTGTCAGACCCACTGTCTTCCCATTTTGAGCATTGTTGAGAGGAAAAATATCCTTCAGGCCTTCAGTAATGGTAGCAAATCTGGCTTCCATCTTGAAAGTCCATTCAAGAACCATCAAGAGAATGGTGAATAAGTTTAAAAAAGCAGGAACAGTAGAGAGAAAAACTGGATCACAAGGTCACAACAGCAAGAGGGTCTATCATTTCAACATAGTGCTAAAGAGATCAATTAGAAATGATCTAACTCAATTCATAAGACGTTTGGCACGTGAGAGAGGAATTTCAGCTATGACAATCCAAAGAGCAATAAAAAAACCCAAACAAACTTTGAAATGAAATTGTACGTGAAAGCTGTGAGGCAACTTGTTAATCTAGGACAGAATGTTAGAAGGTTAGAGAGGGCGAAGTTCATCTTAAGTTGGAAAGTGAAACTGGAATAATATATATATATATATATATATATATATATATATATATATATATATATATATATGAAGTTTATTTCAATACGTCATGAACTTCTGATCTTTAGCTATGATTAATTAATGATGAAAATGTCATTTTCGTTTATGATTAATTTCAACACGATATTTCTAAGGGAGTAACTATAAATTCTTATTGCTCAAAGTAGAGTCCAATAGTGCTGTAAAAACCTCGAAGAATTCCAGTAAAATATCTTTAATCTTTCTATGATACAACGGTTCAGAGGTTAATCTAACAATTGACCAATCTTGCTGTTATACGATTTGGACAATTTTGCTGTTACTCCCGGGATATCCTAGATCAAGCTGAGATCCGTATAAGCCGTATGCCCGACCCTGATAGAAGAATAAACTGTAGATATGGGGACTAGTTAGTCATAGAGAAATTATGGTATTTTGATGAGTGTAGTCAAAAATAGCATACAAGAATATAGCGTTTTGGTGAATGGAACATTATCGGACGAGTGGGCCAGCAGTTTCGGTTTTATGCCTCATTTGATATAAAATATAAATAAATAACATGACACTGTTAGGGTATATCTTGAAAATAAGAAAACACTATTCAGTAATATAGCGAGTTCGATCCTCACTGAAGAACGTTGCGTCAGACTAAGGCAAGCTTAGCAAATAGTGGTACCTACATCGACCTTATAGCTCTTGCTTGTGTATTTGCCAGTAGAATTTTATATAAACACACAGACACATTCATATGAAGAGTTACGCGCATGCGTATTTACATTCACTAAAGAATGCCATTTCGAAACATCTTTCTTCTATGACCCAGCTACCGCAAAAAGGTTGATTTTGAAAAGGAAATCAAATTATCTCTGGTAAAAATGAATAAATAAAACAAAATAAAAGAAATGTGAAAAAAAAAAAAAAAAAACGAAAAAAACCATCGGTCGATCTAATATAATTTCAATAAATTAATGATCAGCAATGTAAACCACTTTGCCGAACGCGGATGGTTTATTTATTTATTTATTTTAATGGTTTTGCTTCTGGCCGATGATAAAGTAACGAAATATCAACACACCAGACAGAAAGTTGATAATGATGGCGATGTTGAGGTATGGAAAACTGCTATCTGCAGCGACCGGCCGAAGAAGGAAAGAAAGAGTCACACACTCACTCACGCACGCACGCATGAACACACACGCACGCACGCACGCAGAGAGAGAGAGAGAGAGAGAGAAAAAGAGAGAGAGAGAGAAAAAGAGAGAGAGAGAGAAAAGAGAGAGAGAAAGAGAGAGAGAGAGTGAGAGAGAAATCAAAACTGTAAAAAGAAAACATCTCTGGCTTTTCACAACTAGATCGGTAAAATATCATTCGATTTAAGCACGCACATAGTCTTATATTATGGCTTTACAGGTGTCTGTCGTAAAGAGGTGAGGTCGGTGGGTGCAACGAGATTTCAAACATTGTCGGTTTATTTAATGCCGAATATAAGTCTTACAAAACCACAATAAATCATCAAAAAGTAAATGTTGGTCCAATGAACTTAAAAACTTAGGTTCAGTTTGCACTAGTGTAAAAATGTCGACATAGGCGCAAAACATACTAGGGAAAATAGTCGCAATAGGTGCAATTTACACTACAGTAAAATATGTCGCCATAGGTGCAGTTTACACTAGAGTAAAAAACGTTGACATAAGTGCAGGTTATACTAGGGTAAAAAACGTTGGCATAGGTGCCATTTTACACTAGACTAAAAAAAGTTGACATAGGTGAAGTTTATACTAGAGTAAAAAAAACGTTGGCATAGGTACAGTTTAAACTAGATTAAAAAAAAAACTTTAGCATAGGTACCTGCCATTTTACACTAGAGTAAAAAACGTTGAAATCGGTGCAGTTTATACTAGAGTCAAAAAACGTTGACATAAGTGCCATTTTACACTAGAGTAAAAAACTTTGACATAGGTGCTGTTTATACTAGAGCAAAAACGCCGGCATAAGTGCAGTTTATACTAGAGTAAAAGATTTAGGCATATGACAAATTTCGGTTAGAGCAAAACAGGTAGATGTAGGTCCGGTTTGCATCAGAATAAAAAAAATGAGGTGTGATAATTCCATTTCCAATATGACCTTGGTGTATCAGTGGAGTAATGAATCAGACAAATATTTGTAACCGAGCGCGTCCAGACATGTTGCAACTTCCGCTTTCTTTCAGATGAGTCATTCGTTGAGGAAGCGTAGAGGAAGTTGTACGTGTTGATATTAAACTGTTAGCGGAAATGGTTGGAATGATTCTGGAGCAACGGATTAACATCAAACTTAACATCAAGTGACACGTTTGCCCGATAAAAAAAGGCTTATGGTGAATATGTTATTAAGAAATCGAGTAATTTTGAATGGCCCTGGCCTGTTCAAGAAAGTGCGAACAAAGAACAAATGCAAATGTCGAGAGAATGAGAAACTTCAGATCGAAGATTAAGTGTGCGACTGATAGTAGAAGAACTGGGGTAGTAACGGAAATTGCAGAACAGGAAAATGATACTATATAAGTTTGCGAAATCCATTATGAAAATGGGCTGCTGACTTTTTATTCACCAGACGTCGAACTGACGTGATTTTATTCACCAGACGTCGAACTGACGTGATTTTATCCACCAGACGTCGAACTGATGTGATTTTTTTCACCAGACGTCGGGCTGACGTGATTTTATTCACCAGACGTCGAACTGATGTGATTTTTTTCACCAGACGTCGGGCTGACGTGATTTTATTCACCAGACGTCGAACTGATGTGATTTTTTTCACCAGACGTCGGGCTGACGTGATTTTATTCACCAGACGTCGAACTGATGTGATTTTTTTCACCAGACGTCGGGCTGACGTGATTTTATTCACCAGACGTCGGACTAACGTGATTTTTGGCTATTTCTAAACTTGAAAAATATTCTGAAATTTACTAACATTCTGACATCCAGAAATACGTGACTGCATTGTTCGAGATATTTCGGGAAACGAATCCCAAGAATATTTCCAGCATGATTGTCCACCGTAGGGAAAAAAGCAAGACGTGTTAATTCACTTGAAAAAATCCAGAAAATATATTTCAGTAATATATGACAAAAATACAACAAGAAAAGTATTAGTTGTCAAGGGTTTAGAGTAAAGTAGATCCTCGGCTTGATTGTTCAATTTTTTAAATGATTTTACCCCAAGTTAATGAACCTAATAAGATGCGATGGGTTACTGAAATTCATAGAAACAAAAAGAACAATACAATAACAGGGTTCAAGGAAATTGAAGAAAGTGATAAACATTGAATATAAATTGTTCAAAATCCTAGTAAGAAAGATGTGCAGGACAAGGATGGGTCTTCTCACCGGACTTATTCAGCCTATACAGTGAGGCGATTTTGAGAGAACTAAAAGTCCTACAAGGATTCATTATTGGCGGCCACAATCTTAACAACTTAAGATATGCAGATGACACAGTGTTGATAGCAGACACGGAAAGAAAACTACAATAGAACGTGGTGAAGGAAAGTGAGAAGAACGGATTAAACTGCAAGAAGACAGAATACATAGTTGTTAGCAAAAAAGGAACATCGGAATTTCCTTCCAAATGTTGATTATACAGGGTATCCCTAAAATCTGGTCAACTACATTTTATTGAATTGGAATATTATCAAATAAATCTTGAATTTAATTTCCATCATTTGTGATGCAAAGGTTGATGCACTTTGCAAGATTCACGTGGACTTGATGCAATAAATGCACATTGCCGCCAGTTTTAATATATTCACTCTTTATGCGTTCAATCAAATCTGTTGCATCTACGATTTTCATTGAGCACCACTTCTCTTTTACCATACCCCAGAAAAAGTCAATTTCTTCTTCTTTCGACAAAACCATGTTTAATCTGTGGAGGTAAAAAATATAGTTAATGAGATTTGCTATCTATCCAGACTTTAGGGACAGCCTGTGTAATTATTTTCCCTTTTAGTTACATGTGCTACGTATTTTAGCTATGGTTGTTTTCAAGTAATGGAGTTTAGTAAAGTTTCGTTATTTTGTAGCGCTAGTGTGGTCATACAATTCTGCATTACTAACACCAGCTGTGATGACATCCAATGTCGACTGTATGCGAATAAAGCGCCCTGGCTCTGTTCCACAGATTCATCTCGATTAGGGCCGTGATGGCCGTCAACAAAACAGCAACAAATACTTTTAAAGACACTTGTTAGTTCGGGAAATAGCAAAAAAAAAAAAATACGATTTCTTACTTAGTCAGCAATGTCTTCCTTCTGCTACGAGAAAGCGAGCTTCTTCTAACCGACTTTTCACTAAATTCAGGCCACGCAAACAATCACTACACAATCACTACACAATCACTGTCTGGTCGTTTCACTGACCACTGACCGTTCTATTGACCGACCCTTCACTCACTGTCCGGTTCTTTATATGGATATTAGCTGGGGGATCTACCACCCCTTCCGTCACTCGTGTCTCACCAAATGTATCTATTTGTCTAAGGATCGTATTGCAACACTAGTGTAACAATACGATTTCTCACACATCCTTAGGAAATAAGAAGATAAATTCCTTTTCCTTTTAAGTTCACTTAATTATCTGAGTTCCTTAGGAAATTCGTCTCCAGCCCATCTTTGAGTCAACTTAAGTGTCAGAGTTTTCAGGATTTCTGTTTCCAGCTGCCTTTGAATTGGCAAACATAAAATTTTGTCAATGGTTTTAGGTAATCATAAAAGTAGTCCTTTGAAGAATCTGACCGCCCCAAAAGCGTGGTTTCTTGTTCCGGAACATAAATGGACGTATAGGGGTGGTCTGACCCAGGCAGTATCCATATAAGCATGGAAGGGCAGGAAGTCAGTAAGTAAGTAGGTGTCCAGCAGTAAGGGAGTAAGTGACCTGTGGCCAGTGAGGAAGGGACCAGCACTTAGAGAAGAGGAAAGAACCAGCGGTGGCCAGAATTTAGGGCGATAGCAGTTCAACCGAAAGAAAAGCATAGACGGCTAAGTGAAAATTCATTTTGTTGCTATTTTCAAACCAGAGAGTCTTGAAAAGTATATTCTTTGTAAATTCGATTACGGCCAAGTGGAAACAAAATGTGAACATAGCTAGCCGAGTGTATACGCACACAACCGACCTTGGATGTCATCGGACTGTGCAGTGGCGGATGAGCGAAACACATTGTCACACTAGTCTATGGGGTTTGAAGAAGGATTGTCTTCTTAAATACCTAATGGATTCATTCACTTAAATCCAATCGTAAAATGTGGTTTTACTTGTAAACAATGACATAAAAATATGGCATTAATTTTAGGTTTGTATCTATAACCTATTAATACGCAAAGTTCGAAAAACGCGACGTTGGGCCTTACTTGGTGAAGGCAGTGTTTTTTTTTTAAGCATTACGCCCCAAGCAAGGCGTGAAGCCACTAGGATGCAGGGGGTTACGAAAGATTTGGAGCAAGAGCAGATAGGAGTGATAGAAAAAAGGATGGAGAGAAGGATAGTGGGTAGATCAAGGTAACTGGAGATGTCGATTGACATTACATTTGAATAGTTGGAGATTATAGCCTTCAGGGAAACAGTAATTGGGGAGGGTGTTCCACTGGCGAGAGGTGCGAGGTATGAAGCTACTGGAGTAGAAGAGACGGCTACATTTGAGAGTTTCTACGGTGTAAGGGTGGGAGCGGGATGCTAGCCTCGTAGGGCGCTTGAATTCATGGAGTCTGGGAACCAGTGAAAGCAGCTCGTCAGAGCAGTTACCATGGAAGTATTTGTAGAAAAGACAGAGAGAGGCGACGGCGCGTCTGTGAGAGAGTGACTGCAGACGAGACGCCAGATCAGGACCAATTAGATTACATATCCGTCTCTGGATCTTGTCAAGAACTCCGAGGTAAGCAGAAGGTGCCCCAGCCCATATATGGCAGCAATACTCCATGCAAGGGCGAATGGTTTTTTTCTATATTTGAAGTATAGATTCAGGGGAGAAAAATTTCCTGGCGCGGCACAGAGAGCCAATTTTCCTCGCGGTGGAAGAAGCAATTGACTCAATGTATTTGTTCCATCTCAGGTCAGCAGTCAGCGTGAGACCGAGCAGACGCAGGGAATTGCTCTCAGGAAGTTGACTATCAGACATTTTAATGGGGGGTAGGGAAGGATCTCTATGGTGGTTAATGGAGAGTAATTTAGTCTTAGTGGCGTTAAAGTTGACCAGCCAATTCTTGCCCCAGTTCACAACCGATTGGAGGTCCATTTCGAGACGCACGGCCAGATTAGTTTTGTCGCCGATACTAGATTTGTTTTGGAGGCAGGAGT